AAGGGTTGGCTTCATTATTTTCAGAAGTGACTCCTGTTCAGTTCTTGGAAGAAGCAGACGGAGCAGCAGTGAGAGCAGCCCCAGCTGCTACCTGCATGAGAGCAGCAGCAGCCATCAGTCTCCCCTCCTGCTCCAAGGATTGGGCAGGCGAGCAGCAAAGGCTCCCTGCATTGACTCCTGCGTGACAACCAGTGATGCTAAGTCACATTTCACCACATCTTTGCACAAATCCACCTTCCAAACGCTGGCTGCTTTACCCAGCACCTTAACGAAGTCACTTGTTCACACATTACAGCACTCACACACAAGGCAGCTTCTTTAGGAAGAGCTCTGCAGCGTCACTTGTAGGAATTCATCACTGCTCCTCCACTGAGCTCCCGAATCCCAGCACTCTGCACCGCTCACAGCTCCCTCTCACAGCCCTCCACTCTCTAATAAAGATGTACTCTGGCCCCCAGACAACTCATTATCCACTGCCTTGTATACCTGACAAACACAGAAAAACGAACACGTCTGACCCATTCCCTGACCCCCGGACAATGGGCTTCTTTGTGAGCCCTTAATATCCCTATCAGGTCTGTCTAGACACCCTGACAGCCATTGTGCTGCTCCCTGACCTCTCCACTGAGCCCCGGCACAGCCAGACGCGCTCTGCTGGGATGGGATGGGGATGGTGGGATGGGGATGGTGGGATGGGGATGGTGGGATGGGAATGGTGGGATGGGGATGGTGGGATGGGGATGGTGGGATGGGGATGGTGGGATGGGGTGGTGGGATGGGGATGGTGGGATGGGGATGGTGGGATGGGGATGGTGGGATGGGGTGGTGGTTCAGGACACACCTGGGCCATGCTGGCACCGCATCCCGCACCACTTCCTGCACAGCTGCCGAGAGCCCCCAACCAAACGTTACAGAGATCAAAGCGTGGCACAGCACAGGTGGGAGGCAGAGCGTTGCTGCTGCGAGCTGTGAGGAGTTATCAGCCCCTCTGATCCATTTGGGATCTCTCTCCTGAGCACCCAGCTCTCCAAGCATTTATTTAGCCCTTTTTATTTAACGCCCCTGAAGGTGAGGCATTCTCTGTGTTCACTGTGTGTAAAAAATAACGGAGCTTCAAAACTGAGCAGCGACACCAGGAGTTCACAGAATCGCACGGCTTCAGTGCAGGGAAAGACACCACAGCTGTGCTCTGTGTCAGAGCCCAAACAACACCAGGAAAGAAAAGCAGGGAATCTTATCCTGGGGATGCGGGATAATAAAAGATGCAATAAAGCAGAACTGGCTCAGCCCCGGAGCTAGAAAGGATTTAGGAAGATTGTTTAATTGATTTTTCTTCTATTAAAATGCAGATCACACCGTCTGGGGGCTCAGCAACTCAGACGCCTTTGTGTCCACGCTGCTCCATGAGGGCCCCGTCTGAGCCGCACAAAGCCCACCTCGGCGGCTCAAAGCCGTGCTGTTCCTTTTTGTCTGGGCCCCTCGGGCTGAGACGGGGTGAGGGGAGGGGGACGTGGGCACAGCGCTGCAGGATGGACCGCAGGGAGGTGGGTCCTGCTGCTGCTTTCCCTTCCCAAAGCAGCCCTGAGCAACGCGAGCTGAAGACGCTGCTCCTCGTCGCGCGTCAACGTCAGCTTTGCTCCTGCAGGAACAGCACAGCACCCGCCTCTCATCCTGCCCCACACACACAGCGCCCTGCTGGGCATCTCTAGCAGAAAACCAGGAAACAAGAGCTGACGTGGCGTGAGGAAGAACCAAGCAAACCAACGGCCTCATGGCCGCCCTTCAGTAACACGCCGTCCTCCCCAGCCTTGGCTGAGCAACTCGGGTGCATTCAGCCCCAGAGGCTCTCGGAGCCAAAGGTTTCCTCTCCCCTCACCAGTCAGCACGTTGGACATCTGGACATCGGCTGACTGTAATTGATTAGAGCTTGAGATTTAATTTAAAAGCATTCTGAAGAAGATATTAATCCCCGAGCTCTGAAGGGAAGAGAGACGTGTTGGGGAGAGAAGCAGATCCAGTTTCCCGGGCAGCTGCACTAAAAGGCACCGTGAATTCCCAACGGCTTTGTCATCAACCACCTCCAGGAGCAACAAATAAAGGAGAACCGGGAGAATGTGACAGTGCTGCCCAAGCTGATGGTTTACAGAACATCACAGAGCGCCCTCAGCCCTGTTCAGCAGGGCATTCTGATCTGCTCAAGCAGTGCCACTCCATGAGCACTTCAACCGCAGCCCCACGTGCTGAGCCCCATTACAGCTGGGAGGGCTTAAAGGTCGACCTGCTCACCCAGAGCCAGGCTGCAGCGGAGAGAAAAACGTACAAATTCCTTTCTGTTTATTTATTTTGAATTCCCTCTGCTAAGTGGTGGAGAAAGACTGCGGGCACCGCTTAACTCCTCTGAAACGCAGGGAGTCAGGCTAGGGGCTCCTTATCTGCCTCTGCTCTACGAACCCGACCTCACCATGTTCTACCAGCATGGGGATCGTGTAGAGGTGGACAAAACATCACCCAGCTGAGTGCCTGCACACGGGGCGAGCCGGCCTCAGTGGACAGAGCAGAATCAGGGCTGGAACGCGTGCAGGCAGGGGACGGTGCTGCTCCAAGGCCGAAGTTACAGCCTTACCTGCACTGCAATCCAGCTGGCGTTGACGGCGTGCTCTCCAAAGGGACCAAACCCTGAAAGAGAAGAAAAGCCCCCGGTGAGCAGCTGAGCCCTGCAGCTTGGACTGCAGCTGCCCTCTGCGCTTCTTGGATTTATGTGCTCTGAAAGAAAACCCACTGCTTGTAACACCCAGTCCCTACTGGAGGTGCATTTTCTCCTTGCTGACCAGGCTAGGAACACTTGTTAGATACAGAGCAGTGGAGTGATGGCACAGAACGAGGATCGTGATTGGAGCTTCTAACCCTGATGGTAACAGCCCACAGCAGATGCTTCCACAAACAAATCTGCCTCCAGAACCCCTCTGCTCACACCTTCACCAACATCTGCTGCCTTAAGAGGAACCAAACAGAACAGTGCTGACCCTCCTGCACCGAGCACCAAAGGTTATGACAGCACTATAAAAACACTTAACTCCCGCATCTGCATTTCCTAATGAGTAACTCAGAGTTAACTAGTAATCCATAACATCTTTTCCTGAGCAAGCACACAAAGGTTAGGCATTTATCTGGGCGCAGGGTCAATATGCTTTAATTTAAGATGTCAGAGCTACCCCACGAGCCCAATGCAATCAGGAGGCACACATTTCATCTAAGCTGAAAGGACCGAGAGGGACCACAAATATTACATGACACACTAATGGAAACCTCCCGTGTGCTGCCAGCAGAAGGCGAGGGCTGAGGTTACGCCGCACACGACGGCGCCGGGGCTTTGTACAGCATGGGCTCAGCACCAGCCATCTCAACCGAAGCCTCCAAGTTGAACCACAGTCAGTATCTCCCCAGAATAAACCTCCTGGAGGCTCCCACGAGATCCAAATGCAGACGTTGTTTCCCCATAGCGATGAGAGACACCAAACGCCTCTCGTTGGGACGGCTTCTCTACAAAGCACACCGGAGGGCTGCAGCTCTCCAGGTGCCCCCAGCGTAACCAAAACCTCTCGTTCTGAGCCCAGCTGGGCCGGCACAAAGCCCCTCTCACTCATCTCCGCACCGATTCCTTTCACGGCAGATGAGCAACTTTCTCTGCAGCACCAAACTGGCCGCAGCCATCCCACGTCCACCACGGGGCCCTGCAGGCGCACAGCACCGAGCCCTCCGTGCAGACCTGTACGGGATTATGTCCTTACGGAGTTCTAAAAGAGAAACGGCACAGGAATGAGGCTTGCCCTCAGCGTGACACGCACAGCAATGAATGGGAACTCAGCGTGACATCGGCCATGTGCTATCATGGGCAGATCCAGCGAAATAAGCTCTGAATTTTAGAAGCAGTTCCCCCCCCCCGGTGCAGAAGACGGGAAACAAAAGTACTGCGGGGATCGGGGGGACATCACGGCTGACGGGTTGTGTCTGCTCACCGCAGCCCCCGGGCTGGGAACGCTGCGCTGTGACACGCGGGGACCGCGCTGGCCGTGGGGCCGCTGCCTCGGGGAACCCACGAATGGGTTCGTGGCACGGGGATGGAGGCGGCACGGCGTCCCCAGGCACCAAACCCCCTCCGTTCTCCCGCAGCCCCCCGAACCTCCCCAGGGCGAACCGGCGCCGGTCCCCGCTGCAGCCCATCGCAAAGGAACAGCAGCAGCATCGCCCCCCCCCAGGGCAGCCCGCACCCCTCGGCAGCACCTCGTGCCCCGGGCAGCTCCTGCCAGCCCCTCCCCAGCCCCGCACTCGCAGCGGGACCCCAGGGCTCACCTCACACCCCCCCGACCTCCCCCGTGCCCCTCACCGCTCCCCTCCCCAATCCCGCAGCGCAGCTCCCAGCGCCCGCCACCGCCCCCCCGCTTACATAAGGGAAGCGGAGCCCACTTGGCCGCCCCCTCCCCGCTCTCCCGCCCCAGTCCCGCCGCCCGTACCCGTCACCACCACCGCCCGCCGCGGTTTCTCCATCTCCGCTCCCACCCTGCCCGCGGCCGCACCGCACTGAGCGAGCGGCTCCGCACGGTCATAGAGCGCGCTCCGCCCCGACGCTCAGAGCGGCGCCGCGCGGCCATAGAGTGCGCGCCGCCCCGAAGCCCAGAGCGGCCCCGCGCGGCCATAGAGCGCGCGCCGCCTCGCTGCCTAGAGCGGCTCGTGAGCGCCGCTTCCGCCGCCGGGAGAAAAGCGCGAGGCCGGGGGTAGCGGCCAACCAGGCCGCCTCGACTCTGGGTCCCCCCGAGCTCCTGGGGCGGCAGCGGAGGTGGAGCGGTCCACAAGGGGCTGAGCCCAGAGCCGCCTCACGGGCTTATTGCGAAGCGCGGGCTCGAGCTAGTTAAACCCGTACAGAACGCTACGGTGGTTTCACGCCCAGCGTTCCCGATCCTGCTGGGCTCGTGCTGGTGGAGTCCTGAGAGGAACGGAACGGAACAGAACGGGCCAGCGGGGCCAACTGGGAGCGCCGCTGCTTCCCGCCTCGCTTTTCAATTTACGGCACTGTCGTGACTCAGGGGACCGGCGGCCCCGGTGATGCTTTACGGCAGAGGTCGGGTCCTGCGCGTTGATTGGCTCCGCGGTGGCCGCGCCGCGCTCTGATTGGCCCCGCGCGGGGCCGGGGGCGGTTTGAGCGGCAGTGCCGGGCGCGGCGGTGGCTCCGCGGTTCCGGCACGATGGTGAGTGCGGGCCTGGGCCGGGCGGCGGCGGGCGGCGGGCCTGGGAATCCCCGCCGCTCTGGGGAGTCTGTGTGGAAATACAGGCGGTCCCCGCGCCCCGGTTCCTGAGGCCTCTCTCTCTTTCCCCCGCAGCTGCCCCTGTCGTTGCTGAAGACGGCGCAGAACCACCCCATGGTGAGTCCCGGCCCTCCCGTCCCACTCCCGTTGTGGCCGCGGGCTCGGCGCTGTCCTGCCGGGCCCGGTGTCCACGTGGTGACCCCCGCTTCTTTCAGCTGGTGGAGCTGAAGAACGGAGAGACGTACAACGGGCACCTGGTGAGCTGTGACAACTGGATGAACATCAACCTGCGGGAGGTCATCTGCACCTCACGGGTAAGGAGCGGCGCGGCTGCTCGGTGCTGGGACCCCCGTTGTGCCCAGAGACCCCCCGTGCTGGCAGCCCCTCACCTCCAGCCCTGCAGCTGAGTGGGGCTCGCAGAGATCCTCGCTCCTCTGCATTGCTTTTGCCCCGAGTGTGAATGTAATGCAGCTATTTGTGAGCTGTAAGAAACAAATGAGCCCAATGGCGGGGCAGGGTGAGAGCGCTCAGTGTGGAGGGCTGGTGACAGGTCCTGTTCTGGTGCTGAGCTGCATTCTTGGTGCCCGCTCCATGCAGTCCCATCAAGCACAGCGCTGGCTTTTGTCAGCGCCTGCCTCTCGCCCTCTAACTCCACTTCAAAAATAATCAGGGCCTCTTGTTTACCCGGGTTGTGCCTCGTCTGGTACTTTTGCCCATGGCCAAAGGTGCTCCAGAAGATTGGGATCTGTGCTTTGAGTTCTGACCTCAGCCAGAAGTGTCTGGTCTTGTCCCTGCCAGCCTGTGCCTGGCCACGTTCCCGCTGCTGTCTGTGTCTGAGAACACCAGAGGTCTGTGGGAGAGGCTGTCAGGGAAACCCTTCTTCTCTGGAAAACCCTTCTGCAGCCTTTCGTGGCTGTTGGACCCACGGCAGGAAGGTATTGGCCAATACTGCTGGGGCACGGAGACGTTTGCACGTAAGCATGACCGAGCAAATGTTTAAGGAGGACCTTAAGGGCAGGGAAGTGAGCCCTAAAAATGTGCAGATCCCCAAATTGGCGGGGCAGATAAGTTCTGCGGGAAGGGGTGGCAGCGGCAAAGCCTTATTAGTGCTTGCAGAACGGGGGACGCCGGCCTTTAATACTGCTTCCTCAGAAAGCGGCTTTGTGCTGCTGGGGGCAGAGCGCTTCCTCAGCATTTATTCCCACCGAGCGCCCTGCAGTTCACTCCCAGCCCCGAATGCCCCCGCAGCGCTGCCGGAAGCCTTTCCTGGCGGCACGGTGGGGATCAGCCACTAGATGGCACGGAGCGGCGGCGGCTGTTTACCCCGGAGCTGGAACGAGGAAGCCGGGGACCTGGCTCCATCCCTTCCTGCATCGGGAGCCAAAGTGCAGCCGGGCGGATCCAGGCAGGGTGGGGTTTTGCTGGGTGCCTGTTTGAAGCAGGCTGCTCCTCTCGCGCACACGGGACTTGCCTGTGCGTGCGGCGTTGCCCCAAATAACTCCGGAGCGGAGGGGGGAACGACTTGATCCTGGAGAGGTGAAACGAGGCATTCTGGTTTCGCCCACTCCCCTGGGACAATCCTGGACGCTTTGTCCACGTGTGATGGTTGTGAGGAGCCCGTGTGCAGCCCAGCCCTGCAGCAGAGCAGAGCCGAGCGCACGAGGCTCCGTCCCTCCTCCCGCTTACATCAGTTGTTATTCAGCTTTCACATGCAGTTCCTATTCCCACAGCCACAGGAGCTGAAGCCCTGATGGGCCGTGGCCTAGCAAAGCCCTGAAACTGCCTTAAACAAAACACAGAGGCAGCTGCTCCGTCGCTTGGCACCCGAAGGTTTATTTTAACGCGATCTTTAAGCTCTTGTTTTCCACCGCCGCGGTTCCTGCGCGCTGCTGGGCGCACCCCACACCCAGCTGGACGCTGCCCTGCTGCTCAATCCACAGCGCAGAGGAGTGCAGTCGTTAGGTGACTCTGGCTGGGGTTTCTGCAGGGGAAATCTGTGCCTTTGCCTCTGCTGGAACAGCCCTGCGTTGCCGGAGTTCGGTGCTCGCAGCAGCTGTGTGCAACTCGCCACGTTTCCCTCTCCAGTCCCACTTTCGATTCTCTTCTTGTATGAGAGGCAAAGGGAAGGTGCTGTTTCCTCAGCCTCTTCTTCTTTCGTTTTCTGTGAGTCAAAGGCAGTTGTGGACAGGCTGAAACGTCAGTGGCTCGTGGCTGAACGCCCCCTGCCACCAGCAGGCCGTAGGGCTGCATGTTTTGGAGGGAAAAGAGGAATTTCACAGCTAATTATGGCTTACACTTCCAGAAAAAAAGATTGTTGTATCTGTCACACTCTCCAGAAGTGATGGAAATACTCAAGTGCCAAAAAAGCCACGTAAGAGCACGTGGCCCTTGCTCTCAGCCTAACGCGCTGCTCCCCAACAGGATGGAGACAAGTTCTGGAGGATGCCGGAGTGTTACATCCGTGGCAGCACAATCAAATACCTGCGGATCCCCGATGAAATCATCGACATGGTGAAAGAGGAGGTGGTCTCCAAGGGCAGAGGCCGTGGGGGGATGCAACAGCAGAAGCAACAGAAAGGCCGTGGCGTTGGAGGTGCTGGACGAGGTAACGACAATCCTTTCTGCTTTTCAGTTCGGAGAGGGGTGACTGGAATTCCTGCCTTTGAATTTCACTTGTTGGGCAAGGAAGGGCCGATGCTTCTCAGCTTTGAACCCGGAGCTGTTGATCTGTGGGAAGCTGGAGCTGCTGCTGGGCAGGATCTAGTTGAGTGAGTGTGTTGTCTGGCTTGAAAGGCAGCCTCTGCCAAAGAGCAGCGAGGAGACGTGCCAGGGATGAGCCTCGTTCCTGGGCTGGGCAGGAGCTTAAGAGACTCTCCGTGTGTTTGTGCCCCTCCTGGCTGCTTGCAGAACGCGGCCCCACCAAACTCCTGGTGTCTGTTAGCTTTGCAAATCTGGGAGGGAAACAAGCAGCTGTTCTGTCTGAAATCAGACTTGAATTTGGCCACCCTCGTGGTAGGAAAAGGCCACCTTTAGTGCCATTAGGATGGGACTCCTCATCCTGCCGTCTGCCGATTTCTTCTTTATTTTTAACCTAAGTTATCTGAAGGTTTGTTTTCTTCCTGCTCCAAATTAATATTTGTTGTTTCTGATAAAAGGTTGCCACTTAAATAGAAATGGGCCGACCCAGCTCTCCCTTCCTCGTTCCATTTCTCGTGGCTGGGTTATCTTGGAGCACTTCAGCCTGGGGAAATATTTGCCCTTTCTGAGCACAGTGCTGCTGGATGCCTGAGAAGCATTTCTCCCTTGTGCTCACACCTCCTGCCACGTCTTTGCAATCCCTGCTCAGCCCCAGGGATCTTCAGCGCGGGCTGAGCCTGCAGTGGGAGCTTAAATGCCAGACAAACTTCCTTGCTACAACAAAACCGAGTTCAACTCGGGGGATCTGGGTTTTACAAGGATCCACGGAGTGCCCTTAATGAGCAGCAGGATGAGAGGAGCCCCAAGAGAAGGCAGGGGGGGCCTGGTGTCACACTGGGACACACCAAGAGCCGCATCCACATCTCCCAGGGACTGCAGGAGGAAAATCCCTCTGCCATGGCTGCTCCCTGTGCTGCCTCTGAGCACACAGGAGTGACCTTTACCATTCTGAAGGCGCCTTTTATTTTTCCTTCTTCCCTTTTTGGAGTCCAAAGCATTTGGCACAGCGGCTTTTTGGATGCGGTTATTTGGACAAATGTTTTAGCTGAAGTATTTTCTGTGCTGTGGAAATATCCACCTTGTGGAGAGAGTTCTGTTGGAGGTGGAGTTCCCTGCTGTTTTGATGTGCAGCTTAAATTCGCTGATGGAATATTTTAAAGGGAAGCTTTGGCATTTGCTAATTAGCTAAGAGGTTTGGCTCTCATTACCGAGACATTAAGGGGGAAGAAAAAAAGGGCAGGACAATTTTGTTGAGAGGCCAGCAGGCAGAAGTAAAGCTATAATTGTGCAGGCAGTTGAAAGGATTATTGTTCCTGACACTGGTAATCCTTCGTCTTCTTGGCTCGCCCAGTGCAGAAGCAGCGCAGTCTCTGCTCAGCCTCTCAGGCTGCTCGCAGGGCTCCAGCTGCTTCCCAAGGGCTGCAGGGTTAGGAGCAGCCTCCTTCCTCCCTGGTTTGGATGCATCTCAGCTGAACGAGCAGAGCTGCAGAGCGAGCCGCCCCGACTGCCTGCAGCGGATCGGAGTGGGAGGCAGGGCTGCAGGCGTCAGCAGCTCTCAGGGCAGAGAGGAGCACAGCGCCGGGGTGCCTGGGACTCATCACAGCCCCCAGGTCCTCTGCCTTTGTGCTCCACTGCTGGATCACCCCGTCCACAAGCGAGGCGGTGACAGACGTGGATGTGTTTTCTCTGTTTTGTTGCCTTGAAAGCGAGTCGCCCTCTTTGCTGCTTTTGGATTTGGTTGTACAGCTTTCAGGGGCGCAGCTTGATGCTGATCCCGCTGCTGACAGGCGCTCGGTTTAAAACTGGGTCTCTCTGCCTTGGTTTCGTTTTCCAAAAGAGGTAAACTTGAATTTGTGTCGATTCGCAGCCTGCCAGGGGGCACATTAAAGCACCAGAGAGCTACTGCTGAACTTGCAGGTGATGGGAGGTAAGCTTGTGCCCCTGGTGAACGCAGACAGGCTCTGGAGTTGGTGAGGGAGAAGTGCAGAAGTCGCCTCTCTGCCTCCAAGAGAGGCCACAGAACAATCCCACCTCTGGGCAAACTAACAAACAGCGAAGCTGTGGGAGATGTTACAGGCTCACTCTGATGCTGTTCTCTCTCTGCTCTTTCTCCTCACCCTGCAGGTGTGTTTGGGGGCCGTGGCCGAGGAATACCGGGCAGCGGAAGAGGCCAGCAGGAAAAAAAGCCAGGCAGGCAATCGGCGAAGCAGTGAGGGGCTGCGTGAGCCCCGGCCAGGGACAGTGCGCAGCGCTCCTCGGTGCCACCTCAGGATGGCCATGGGTTCACATCCTTCAACCTCTGCTCCTCCGTCAGTCGATCCGTGCCCGAATCGCGTTGTTCGGAAGCCCCTCGCTGTTCCATCTGATCAAGTGCAGCTCTGGGCTTCTTTTAGCCAGCCAGCCTGTAATTGGAAATGTTTAAAAAAGAAGTTAAGGACCTGACTTCAGCACTATTGAATCTGTTGGGATCTCTGTTTTAATTTACGAGCATCTCCTGGGCGCTGTGAGATCTGAGGCCAACGCTTTCGGGCTCGGTCGTGTGGCTGGTTTGGTTTTCATTTCGTTTTGTTTTCTAACACTTGGCACACTGGCAATGTCTCACCTGCTCACAGGCGCAGCGTTTTGGTTTAAAAACACTGAACTTGGGGAGATGGTGCCTTTAGTGAGCGGCCGCAGGGTTTGTTTGGTCGTGTTTGAACACAGCAAACTGTCAGGCTGCCTCCTTCCCCTCCTTTTGGGCAGTCTGTCTGTCTCTGGCCTTGGCTTAAAGGAGAACCGGCACGGATTTCGCTTTGGGCTTCAAGGGTTGTTTCCAAGAGAGCTTTGTGACGAGCGAGGGTTTCCCAATTAGTGTATAGCTAATTTGACTTCAGATTAGAAGTTCCCTTGAAAGGAAATGCTTCTCTGTGTTTTCTTCTGAAAGGCTGCAGCGCCCCTCGCTCCTCTGTTTGTTTTCAGGTTGTGTTTTCTTTTTTTTCTTCCTGAAAGCAGTCGAGCCGTTCAAACAAAACGTTCTGTTTCTTTTTCCCCGTGTCGAAGCTCCCTCCCTTGTGACACAGCGTCTGATTCCCCAGTTACAGCAGCACTTCCCAAGCACGTTCCCTGTGATACGCAGGGATTGACTTCGCTGCCATTGTCTGTCATTTTGTTTTCTGGTAGCTGCTCAGACCTTTTCCCCTGGGGGGGGGACGACTGTTCCTCTCCTGTGGGTGAAGGAAGGTCCTTTGGCCTTGAGCTCAGGCTGCTCTGAGTCTTCCATCCCACGGGGTGCAGAGTTCCGTGAGCAAACACCCCCAAAAAATCATGGCTGATCCCAAATGAAAGCCTGTATGGGGGCACGGGGGGGAGATGGGGGAGGAGAAAGGGGCTCTGGGCCTTGCCTGCACTCTTGAGAATGACTGAAACAGTTTAATTTGGGGTAAAAGCAGATACTGTAACTCATTCTTAAAAGGTCTGTTGGCTTTGTGGTGTTGGGTTGTTTGCTTCCCCTTCCCCCCCCCCCGCCGATTTCCATCTTGAAACCCCCCTGCCATCACCGCTGGTGGGAAGAGAAAACGAGTCCAGCACAGGCTTTGATCTACACTTATTTTCTTAACGTTTATGAGACTCGTGCAGGGCGGCGGGCAGCAATAAATCGCCAACCTGTTGCCGACGCTTCCCTTCCTGTGCCGGCTGCTCAGTGCAGAGCCCTGCTGTGCTCTGTGCTCTGTGCTCAGCACCGAGGGATCGGGCCGCAGTGCTGCTGTTCCCCCAGCTGGGTCCCATTCTGGGAGCTCTGCCTTCTGGGACTGGGGCGCGTGTGTCCTCCCTGCTGGAAACTCGTTCCAGTAAACACCGATGTGGCATTTCAGTGCAGCACGGCCCCAGCCCTGTGTCAGACTTTCCCTTCCCTCCCTTTTAGTCCCTGCCTCCAGCCACACCAGCTCCACGCTGCAGCTGCCCGCGTGAAGGAGGAAACGCAGTGGGCCGCCTGGAGTGACGGGCAGTGCTGAGGTGATAAAGCACCCCGAACAATGGGAATTTGGCTCTGGCTCGTGGCAGAGTTGTCCACAGCCTCCTGCCGCTCCGCAAAGCTCTGCTGCCCTTCTGCTTTCACTTCAGCGCTCCCTTAGCAGCCCTCCCTCAGCTCTTCCCCCTGCGTCTCGCCGCCTCTGCAGGCAGCATCCTGTGCCGTCCTCGCAGCTCTGCGGCCTCCTGTGCTCCCCAAACCCCTTCCTGCCCCACAACTGCCGAGAGGACGAAGCCCCAGCGCTCTGCGGTGACGCGGGAGGAGGAAAAACAGCTCCAGGCTCAGCGTGGGGCTGCACCGTGGCCACCACAGTGACCCCACGGCCCCGTCCAGGTCCCCGGCTGTCAGCCGTGCCGTTTGGTGGGGCCGTGTCCCGCAGTGACTCACAGCGCTGCGCTGGCTGGGGAGGCAGCAGCACAGGAATAGTTACACCGCAGCCGCCTGCGACGCGGAGGGAGTGGCTGCTGAAATATTTCAGGGCTGCGCTAAGCAACTAAAAATACACGTCAAACCCTCCTCCTCCTCCTCCTCGTTTTTCCTTTTTTATTATTATTATTTTTTTTCTCTTCTTGTTTTGGATCATTTCGGGCCCCGGGGGCAGCGCGGCCCCTCTGTGCTCCCCGTGGGGGTTCAGGGCAGTGGTTCTGTTTTCCCGGCCCGGTTCTTCCCTCCCAGCTCACAGCGGTGACTCAGGGCGGCCCTGGGGCAGGTGGGAGCCTTCGGGTCGGCACCAGGCTCTCGTGTGCTGGCACCGCGTGGGGCTGCACTTCAAGCAAGGCCCGGATGTAAGAGATTTAGGGAACGTTCTGGGGAAATGGGGTCAGCGTGCTGAGGTGCGAGGCTGGCGTTTGCGGTGGTGCTCAGGACCTCGCCGGGGTGTGCAAAGCTTAACAGAGCCCAGGGACATCGGGGGAAAGGAGGCACACAGCACGAGGGGACACCGCTGTGTTGGCTGGGGACACCGCAGGGCTGCAGCCTTTGTGAAGTGCCGGCTGGGACAAGAAAGCTGCGAGCGGGGAGCGCGTGGAATCGGGGACGCGAGGCAGCAGGACGTGGCTGGGCCTCACGAGGCTCCTGGCTCCGCCGCGGCCTCCTGAGCAGCGCCCGGGATGGGGACACGTGGGGCGGTCGGGGCTGCGGCTCACGGCCCCCACGGCGCACCGCCCGGCCCCATCCGCGGCCCCCTGAGGCCGGAAGGCCCGAACCGGCCGTGCGGGCCGCGCCCGTAATGATGGGGTTGAGCGGGAAGGCCCAGCCCGGCCCCGGGGCCTCGCTCCCCGCCCGCCCCGGGCCGCAGCACCGCGATGGGCGATGGGGGAGGCGCGGGGGGGGGGGCGGTCGGTTCGTTTCCCCGCGGCCATCGGTGGGGGGGGGGAGGGCGCCCTCCGCCGCACGCGGGCGGTGACGTCAGCGCTGACGCCGCACCGCCCCCTCAGCCGCCCGCGGGCTCAGCCGTGACGCGCGGGGCCGCCGCTGCCGCCGCACCCCCGCCGTGCCGCCTCGGAGCGGAGAGTACGGGGAAGGGGGGGGGAGACCGGGGCGCGACGCACGGCGGGGACTCTGCGGCGCGGCCCGACCCACCGCCCACACGGAGGGAAGGCCGCGGCCCGCCGCCCCTCCTCCCTTTGTGCCCGTGAGTCCCGGCGGGGCCCACGTGCGGCCCCTCCCCCGCCATGACGTCAGCCCGGCGGCCCTCGCGCTGTTGTGCGCCGTTCCCCGGCGGTCGCCCTGGCGACGGCGGAGCCAGGAGGGGGCGTGGCCGCCCGCCACCGCGTTTCCCCCGCCCCGGGGGGCGGAGCCTCGCCCCTTATGCAAATCGCGGCGAGCTAGGACGTCATGTGCAGCCAATGGCAGCGCCGCGCGGTGAGGTCACCGCCGCCGCGCCGCGTATTTAAACCGGCGCGGGGGCCGCGGCGGCGGCAGACGCGTGTGTGCGCGCGGAGGAGCGGGGCCGCGGCCGGTGGCACCGCCGCCTCCCCCGCCCTCCCCTCCCCCCCGGCAGCGCCGCGCTCGGCCCCGCGCCCCCTCCTTCACGGCGCTCCCCCCCGCCCCGTTCCCCCGCAGCCGGGCGGGGGAGGAGGATGGAAACACCCTTCTACCATGATGATGTGTTGAGCGGCCTCGGCGGCGGCTTCGCTCCGACCTCCGGCAGCAGCGGGCTCCTCCTGCCCTTCCCCGGCGGCAGCATGATGAAGAAGGACGCGCTCGGCCTGGCGCTGCCCGAGCAGGTGGCGGCGGCGCTGAAGGCCCCGGGAGCGGCGGCGGCGGCGGCGGCGGGCGCGGCGGGCGGAGAGGCGGCGGCGGGGCTGCTGGGTTCCGCCGAGCTGGGGCTGCTGAAGCTGGCGTCGCCCGAGTTGGAGCGCCTCATCATCCAGTCCAACGGGCTGGTGACCACCACGCCGACCAGCGGGCAGTTCCTCTACCCCAAAGCGGCCGCCTCGGAGGAGCAGGAGTTCGCCGAGGGCTTCGTGAAGGCGCTGGAGGACTTGCACAAGCAGAACCAGTTGGGCGGCGGCGGCGGCCCCAACGGGGGAGCGGCGGCGGCGGCGGGAGGAGGCGGCGGCGGAGGCGGCGGCGGAGGAGAGCTGCCCGCGGCCGGCCTGGCCCCGGAGCCGCCCGTGTACGCCAACCTCAGTACGTACCCCGCCGTCAGCTACGCCGCCGAGCCCGGCCCGTTCGCGGCCCCGCCGCCCCGGCTGCCTCCTCCCCCCCCGCCGCCGCTGAAGGACGAGCCGCAGATCGTGCCCGAGGTGCCGAGCTTCGGAGAGAGCCCTCCGCTGTCCCCCATCGATATGGACACGCAGGAGCGCATCAAAGCGGAGCGGAAACGGCTGAGGAACCGCATCGCCGCCTCCAAGTGCCGCAAGAGGAAACTGGAGCGCATCTCCCGCCTGGAGGAGAAGGTGAAGAGCCTCAAGAGCCAGAACACGGAACTGGCCTCCACCGCCAGCCTGCTCCGCGAGCAGGTGGCCCAGCTCAAGCAGAAGGTGCTCAGCCACGTCAACAGCGGCTGCCAGCTCCTCCCGCAGCACCAGCACCAGGTGCCGGCGTACTGAGGGCCGACGGAACCCCCCGTGCCCGCGCGGCGGCCGAAGGACAGAAGGACCCAACCGCCTCCACCCCCCCCCCCCCCCCATCACCGGGCCTGGCGGCGGACCGAGGGGAACTGGGGGAGAAGCGCGGATTGTGGGGGGAAGCGGCTGCGCGCAGCGCCCCCGTGTGGGCTGGGGGACTGGCGGACTGAGGGGCTCCTGAGGGCGCCCCCCTGTGGGCTGGGGGACTTTGCTCCCATCTCGGACCTGAGGGGGGGGCAGAAAGACTGAGGGGTTTTTGGGGTGACCCCGTTCTCTGCCCCGCAACGGACTTTGAGGGGCCCCCGAGCGCGGCCCCCCCCGCGCCGAGCGGCTGCGGTTTGCAGGGCCCCGCGAGGCCTCTGCCCCGCCACATTCCATTGAGGCCCCGCAGTAAAAACGCCGCTCAGGAGCCGCCTGTGCGCTGTGTGCATCGATTTGTGGGGGGAAGGAACCGGGAACGGGGCGGCGGGAGGGCGGGGGGCGGAGCGGGCAGGAAGCGGAGCGAACGGCTGCCATCTTGGGGGAGGGGAGATGGGGATCGGGGGGGAGGGGAAGGGAAAGGGAGGGTGATGTTGGGGGGAAGGGAGAGGAAGGTGGGGATCCTCGAGGGGGGTTGGGAGGAGCCCGTAGGAGCCCGTGGGGTGAGATGGAGGGGTCCCAAGGGAGTGGATTTGGGGTCATGGGGGTGGGGCGCCGATCCCGGTGGGAGCTCCGGCCCTCCCGGGGGCTGATGGGGGGGTGGGAAGGGTCAACAAATCCCCACTCGCTGTGCTGCTCGCACGGAACGCCCCAACTCCCTTCTCCTTCCCCCCCCCGACGGGAGGGGTCACGGGGCGGGATCCTTCTCGGCACTCTTGGGGTGAACTTCCTTCCCCCTCCCCGCTTCCTGCTGCTCCGTGCCCAGCAGCCCCCCCCCATCCGCCCCCGGAGCTTTTCCTCCTCCCCCGCACCTCGTGCCTCGGTTTCCCCGGAATGAAGCTCTTCCCGGAGCGCCTTTGGAGCTGCGAGGCCGCCGTTGTGGCACAGGGCGGGGTGGGGAACCGTTCCAGCTCCGGTGCGGGCTGTGCCGATACGGAACGTCCCGGGCCCCGGGGGTTGGCGGGGAGCCCGGCGCTCTGTGGCTGTGCCGGGGGTGGCGGAGGTCTGCAGCGGGCACGGTGAGCCCCGCGTCCCCGCATCCTCCATCCCCGTGCCTCGTGTCCCCACCGCATCCTCCCGTCCCCACATCCCCCGCGCTCCCGTGTTCACATCTCCCCACATCCTCATGCCCAAATTCCCGTCTCCCCAAGTTCCCGTGTTTCCACGTGTTCGTGTTCCCACATCCCCGCTTCCTTCCGTCCCCACATCTCTATGCCCTCGTGCCCACAGGTCCTTCCCCCGCCCCCAAGTCCACTTATCCCCATGTCCCCGTGTCTCCAAGTCCCCAAAATATCCCCATATCCCCACGTCCCCGCCCCGTGTCCCGCTGCACCCGCGGTGCCCTCACGCTGCGGGGGGAAACGGAGGCACGAAGGTGGGGGGAGGAGGGAGAACTGCCCCTCCCGGTGCTGCATCGCCGCCCGAGGCCGGCAGGGGGCGCCGCTGTTCCCCCCCCGGGGCAGATAAAGGCGGCGGCGGCGGCGGCCGAAACACAGAGCGGCATCGGCAGCACCGGGAGGGACAGCGGGGCCGGGGGGGGGCATGGCGCGGCTGCTGCTGTGCTGTGCTGCCCTGCTGGCGGCAGGTAACGGGGCGGGCGGGAACACCGGGCAGCTCCGGGTGGGCGCTGGCGTGGCTGCGGCCCCGGGGGGGGCTGGCTCTGCCGCGGTGTGACGGTGCGTGGTGCTCCGGGACAGCGGGGGGGGTCCAGGGCCGAGCCCTCAGTCGGGGCATGGGGCTGCACACCGCTGGTAATGGGCTGGTGGCCGCGTCCCCCCACTCTGCCCATCCCGGGGATCAGCGGAGCTCGCGGTCATGGGGGGCCATCGGGGACCCCTCGGTGGGGCCACCCCCGGGTCTCGCTCTGTCCGCGTGGTGCCCCCTGGGCAGGGCCGGAGCTGCTCCTCCTGTTGTGCAAATAGGAACGGGGCGATAAGAGCACCTCTGGCGCAGCCCTGCGCTGCCAACGAGGGTGCGCGCGGCCCGGACCAGCGCGGTGTGGCATTGCACGTCCCCAGGGCTGGGGCGCAGCGTCACCGCAGAGCTGCTCTCGTCGTCCCCAGCAGCGCTGAGCCAAATGCTGCAGCGGCTTCGGAGCCTCCTGCCCTTCTGAGAGCTGCGTTTGGGGTTGCGAGGGGCATCGTGCCCTCGGTGCAATGGCAAAAGCACCCGGAGAATGAACTGGGGAGGAGCTGCGGCCCCCCGGGGCTCTGCCCCATCCCTGCTGCTCCGCTCTCTCCTTAGGGACAGTCCATGGCCAGGAATCAACAGCAACATCACAGCCCCAGCCCAGCTCATCCGTAGGTGTCACCACGTGGACACGTGAGGAGCCTTCACCCAGCTCAGGGGCAGCTGAACCACAGATGTTGCCACAGGATGCAACCCCCAGCAAAGAGGGAGCAGCCTCTCCATCTCCACCGCACACCACTGCAACACCACCTTCAACTGCGACCCCAAGCACTGCAGCAGCTGAACCCCCCTCCAGCCCTGCAGGGTCACCATCTCTGCCCGTGACACCGGGCTCAGCTCCGCTGACCGCAGCCCCATCCAACGCCGCCACCACATCAGCCCCATCCAAGCTGACCTCGGTGCACAACCTCATGTGGTCCCCAGGCACAGCGCCGGCCCCGTCCTCTCCTGGGCAGCCCACCCCCCCTCCCAGCTCTGCTGTGCCCACTGCCAGCCCCGCTCCCGGCACTTCCTCGGCTCTCAGCTCCAGCACTGCGCAGCTGCTCGGGACTGGCAGCCTGGGTGAGCTCCATGGGATGGGATGTGGGGTGGGAGGGGTGGGGGAGCTGCACAGGCCTGCTGTCCCTTTCCATGCTGTGCACAGGGACTGGATGTGCTCGGGTGCCATTGGGTGCTGCCGTGTATTCCTGTCCCCATGGGAGTCCCTGAATTCTCCTGGTTTGGGGGCTGTGCTTGCAGGGGGTGCAGATCCCATAGGGAGGAGGCTTCTGTCCCCTTAGACCACCCAAAATCTCTCCCCATCCACTTCGGGGAGGTATTTCGTGCTCCCCCTTTATTCCGCGGTGCTGCGGGCTGGCGGTAGGTGGGATGTGACACAGGCACCCAGGTGGGCACCGCTGTGTGACGGGGTGCCCATCTCACCCCACAGCACAGCCCTCCTCCAAATCCAACCCCGGAGTGGTGGTGATCGTCTGCCTCTTCGTGGCTGTGCTGGTCGGGGCCGTGGCCATGCTGCTGGTGCGGCTGCGCCGCTGCAGGAAGCCCCACTTCCAGCGGCTGGACGAGGTGCCCATGGTGCGTGGGGAGCTGGGGGGCGGCGGGGGGCCGCAGGGTTTCCATCTCTCACCCTCTCGTCTCTCACCCCATCTCTCTCCTTCCTTAGGGCAAAGTGTCAGAGGAATCCCCCTTTGCCCGTCACCCCCCCAGGTGACCCCGCTGTGCCAAATAAAGACGCTGCAGCCCCGGCTTTGGTTTCCCATCTGAGCTGCACCCCCGTGGGTGTCAAATCCTCGGGGACGGGGTCGGGGTTGGGATGGAGGTCCCGGGGCGCAGATGGAGGAGGAGCGCGGGGCAGAGGGGGGGGGGGGGGATCTGCACGGTGCCCCCCCCGAGCGGGGTGGGCTGGAGGGAGGGCGCGAGCGGGCAGGCACGCACATCGCCTTCCTTCTGCTCGGCTGCACTCGGCCGAGGCTGCGGCACGATCCGGTAATGGGGGCGGGTGTGGGGCTGAGGTTGATGTGGGGCGGCCACCCCCGACGTGGAAACGGAGATGGGGGTGGGGAGGCTCAGCACTGGGCAAGGGGGAGGGGAGCGTCGGTGGCACCTGGGGAGATGCCGGGGCTGCTCCTCTCTTCTGGAGATTTGGGGGCGAGGATTTGGGGCCTGGTGGTGCTCTGCGATGGGGCGCGCGGCCATCCCCGTGGCTTTGGATCCCCGTCCCTCGGATGTCCCTTGGGGATAGCGGTGAGCCGATGTCGGGGGGCTCTGGGGCGGCACGGGGGGCGGGGTCCGGTGCTTCTCTGAGCCCCGAGACGCCGCCCTGAGCCCCATCCATCGCGATAGAATGGGAATGTAAACGGCCCCTCCGCTCCCACCACCCCACCGAGGGGTGACGCGGAGCCCCCGCTCGCCCCCACCCCCCGCAGCCACGATGCGACGGAGCCGCACAGCGCTGCCCTTCCTGAGCGTGGAGGTGAGACCGCACCGAGACCGGGCACCGGGGGGGAGCACTTGGGGGGCACCAGGGGTGCGCCTGGGGGATAGCGGGGGTGTACCGGGGCGCCTGAGGGGGATCCCCGGTGGGAACGTCCCAGCACGGCGCCTCCGGGCAGCAATTAACGTGCTGATGGCTCTCGGAGTTAATTATCCCCCTAATGGGCTGTTAATTATTATTCGCCCCTGCGTAATTGCGCGCCGGCTCCGGGGGATTTTCCAGCGGGATCCCGGGGGGTGGGGGGAGGGCGGAGGAACTCACGGAGCTGCCGGGACCGGGACAACCCCGCTGTCCTCCCTGCATTTCGGGGCCCCTTGAGGGGGGCGAAGACACCGGGGCTCTGCACCTCGGGCTCCTCACCGCCTCCCGCCCGCTGTCCCGTGTCCCCCACAGCGCTGCCGCGACGTTGCCGAGGCCGTCCCGTCGGGACCGGGATCCCTGCCGGGCGCCATCCGCCGCCGCTTCTCCGGGACTCCGCTGCTGCCTCCGCTCGGCTGCCGGGGGGCCCCCGAGCCCGAGGGCTCCCGCGTGGTGTTCACCATCGAGGAGAGCGGCCCCAGCAGCGGCGACGAGGCGGATCCCCCCCGGTAAGCGGCGCCGGTGCGGGGCTGCTCGGAACTCAGTGCCCCGCGGGGCAGGGGGGGAACCGGAGGGTTCTGCTCAGCACCGGGGCGGACATGGGGGGGTACCGCTGTTACGGGGGCGTAACGGAACCGGTTTCAGCACCGGGGAACGGACAGCGGCCCCGAGGGGGGGGTCGGGGAGGTGGGCAGCGCCGTCCCGTCCCCGCGTCCCGGGCCCGGAGGTGACCTCGCTGCCTCCCCTGGCATCGCCGCGCCGTTATTTTGGGGCCCTTCCCGTCCCCCTCCGGCCCGGCCCCGGCTCCGGTGTCACCCGCTGTCCCCCCCCCCCGCACACGGACACGTGTCCCCGCCCGGGGGGGGGGCCGGGCAGTGCCGTCCCGGAGCCGAGGACTGGCTGTCCCGCGGTCCGGCCCAGCCCTGCTGTCCCATGGGCTCCCGGCTGCCAGGCGGGGACAGCTCTGTCCCCACCCCGCTGTCCCAATCCCCCCCCGCACCCCGTGCCAGGCTGTCGCGACACCCCCCCGATGTCCCCATGCTCTCACCCAGCGGGTCCCCTCCTCCGCACGGCTCCCCTGGTGCCTCCGGGGGTCCCGCGGGTGCCGCCGTGCCGGGGGGGCCCTTCCTGGCTCCCCGCCACCCCCGGGATATTTTGGCCCTCGCCGCAGACAGCAGGTACCGCTGCGTCACCGGGTCAGGGGGCACCCGGCTCCCACGGCCAGGACAGGGCCATGCGCGTCCCTGGGGGTCCCGGCCGGCTCTGTGTCCCCACATGGGCAGTGAGGAGGAGTGTGGGGGGACGAGGTTGGCTCTCGTGGGCCTCTTGGTGACACTGTGGCATGATTGCAGTCGTACGCGGGGTGCTCTGGGCTCGGCCTTGTCCCTAGGTGACACCATATCATGAGCACAGCGTGTATCCGGGATGCTCCAGGCTCGTCCCTTGGTGGCACTGTGGCCTGTCCACACCGTGTGTCCGGATGCTCTGGGCTCAGCTGCGTCCCTCGGTGACATCCTGGCACGGCCGCTTCATCCGTCCCTGGGTGGCACTGCGGTGCGTCCCCACCATGTGCCCGGCTCGCTCCAGGCGCTGTGCCCGGGTCACACGGCGCTCAGCGTGGCGCTGCTCGCATCCCAGCACAGCATCCTCACCCGACGGGCACAGCTGCCACCTCGGGGACAGGAGGGCAGCGGGCGGCACAGGGCCACGTGCCTGCAGGCCGTGCTCACGTGGGGCCGCAGGAGCCGTCGGGGCGCCGGGGGGGGGGCGGGGGGGGTGAAGCAGACAGTTGTTTAATTTCTCAGGCGCGGGCGGGAGGGGATGGAAAGTTTCCCGGGGCTGCGGGGGGGAACGGCCGCGCATTTCCTGCTCCGCACCGCTCCCATCCCCTTGGGTCCGGACCCCCAGCGCTGCGCTTCGGTGCCCCGATTGGGGCCATGCTGCCGTCCCCTGGGGTGTCGTCGCCGGTGGGGTCCCCGCGGGGCTCCCCCCGCAACTCCCCCGTGCTGTTCAGGAGGCTGAGGGTGAACCAGAGCATCCGCCTGCAGCGCCGCTTCACCGTGGCGCATCCCCTCGGGTAAGGGGGGGGTCCGAGAGGGGTGGGAGTGGGAAATGGGGACACAGCGTGGACGCCCTCGGTGCTGCGGTGTGTCACCATCGGTGGGGACGTGGGGCTGAGCGGGGCCTTTGTGGCGGCGGGGCTGAGCTGGGCGGGGGGCAGCGGTGGCCGAGGACGGGTGTGCTCATAGCAGGGGGGGCTGCTGGGCTCCGTCTGTGGGTGTCTGCCCACAGTGGGGGCATGGCGGAGGGGCAGGAGGCGCTGACTCCCACCCTGGAGGGGCCGGGCACTGCAGGGAGCAGCAGTGTCCTCTCCAATGGTAACAGCACCTATTTTTAGCGGCCCCCAGTCCCCCCCCCCGCTGCCTGACACCGCACTGCATGGAAAGTATTTCTGAGTTCGGCACCAGAGCCGCTGTCCCGGCTGCGTCCCCCCCTCCTCGACCACACGGCCCCCACCCCGGTGTGCCCCGCAGCCATTGTGGTGGGTATGTGTGTGTCTGCTCCACGTCTTGGTGACACCGTGCCCGGGTCGGGGCCGTCCCCGGGGTGGCTGAGCTGCACCGGAGGGGGAACAAACCCCCAATTGAGCCGCAGGGCAGGAGGAGCCACAATGCGGCTTTGTGTCCCCGTACCATCGGGGACGCGGGGCAGAGGCTGAGAGCGGGGCCGGGGATGCAGCCAGGCGGCCGCTGCCCGTCCCGGAGGCACTCCTGCATCGGGTAGGTCCGGCAGAGTGGGGGGGAGGGAGGAGGGACGGGGAAGCTCCAATCCTTCCCTGGGGCGGCTCATCCCCGTCCCCATTGTGGCACTGGGAGGGGACGGATGCTGGTGGCCCTCGCTGTGTCCCCATGCTCAGCCGTTCCCATGACCCGGGGGCAGCGGGGCGGCGGCTGCCACGGGGACAGCGCGGGGCCACCATCCCCGTCCCCGTGCCTCTCGTCCCCCGTGGGCTGCGCGGCTTCGGATGGCACCGCCCCACCGCGTCCCCAGGGCCCGGCGCTTGGCTTCCCCCGTGGTTTCTGTCCTTCGATGTCCCCTGGCTCCGTGCCCTGGACGGGTTCCCTGTGGGACTCGGCGCTTTGGGCCACGGCTGATGGAGACTTTCGAGGACTCGCGGCGGACCGCGGCGCCGGGGACGTTGGGACGAGGGATGACGGTGACGCGGGGCGGCTCACCTCCAGCAGCGGGACGGGTCCCGGCCTCGCCCTGGCTGCGAGCGGGGACAGCAGCGGTGTCCCCAATGCTCCCGGTGCCCCCGCCGATGCCAGCCCCGTCCCCTATCCCTGCAGCTTTGACCTGGAGAATGGCCCCCCGGGAAGGGGCCCGCTGGAGCCGCAGTGCAGCCCGGGCGCAGGGCTGGTGCTGCAGGGCGCCTTCACCCACGGCCAGCGCCGCGAGTCCTTCCTCTACCGCTCCGACAGCGACTACGACCTGTCCCCCAAGGCCATGTCCCGCAACTCCTCCACCGCCAGCGACCTGTAAGTCAGCCCCGACCCTCCGTCCCGCCCTCCCCCCGCCCCTCTCCCCCCTCCTCACCCATCTTTGCTCCCCGCAGGCACGGCGAAGACATGATCGTCACACCCTTCGCGCAGGTGCGGCCGTGTGGCAAAGAGGGGAAACGTCCCCTCGTCCCCCCGTGCGCAGCGCTGTGGGGAGGGCCGGCGGCGCGCAGCCCATCCCCAGCCCCTCTCACACCCCCCAGGTCCTGGCCAGCCTGCGCACCGTGCGCAACAACGTGATGGTGCTGCTGCACCTCCAGGAGCGCGTGGGCACCAAGTGAGTGGGGGGGATGAGGGGGGGTTGGGCTGGGGGGCACGGCGTGGTGCTCAGCTCTGCGCGTTCTGCAGGCGGGCGTCGAGCAGCAGCCTCCCCTCTGCCAGCAGGGCCGGCCTGTCTGGTGAGTGCCCCAATGGGGACAAACAGGGGCCCGGGGGGGAGGGGGCAGGTCGCTGTCCCGCAGTGGGGGTGCGGTGTTCCCTCACCCGTGGGGTGCAGCGATGGCTTTGCCCTTTGGGATCCATGTCGGGTTTTCGGCGGCTCCATCCGCCCTTCGCACAGCGGTGGAGGTGGAACGGCTCCCGCTGACGTCAGACCTTCCATTAATAAATCCCCGGGCGGTGCGTGGAGCCCTGTGGGAGCCCCGGGCCGGGTGTCACCTCGGGGCGAGGCGTGGGGACGGCGTGACACCATGCTGTGCTCCGGGGACGGCGCGCCCGGCTGCAGCGTCTGCTCAGCACCGCTCCCCATCAGAGCCCCATGGGGACGTGAGCATCCCTCAGTGGGGATGGTGGGGCCGGGCCTCCACTCGCATCCCCGTGCCCGGCTGTGACGCCGTGCTGCCCTGCAGCAGAGGATGCTCAGCAGAAGCTGTCGCTGGAGACCCTGGAGGAGCTGGACTGGTGCCTGGAGCAGCTGGAGACGCTGCAGACGCGGCACTCGGTCAGCGAGATGGCTTCCAACAAGGTGAGGACCGCCGTGGGGGTGCTTGCCCTGCCATGGGGGCACGGGGGCTGCCCCACACAGCGCTCATCCCTGTCCGCTGCCGCCTGCAGTTTAAGCGGATGCTGAGCCGGGAGCTCTCACACCTCTCGGAGAGCGGCCGCTCGGGGAACCAGGTGTCCGAGTACATCTCCAGCACCTTCCTGGGTGAGTTCCTGGCAGGCAGGGCCTCCGCACCCCTCTGCAGCTCAGGGCCTGCAGCAGCTGCACAGAGCTGGGCACACATCACTGCAGTGCTGAGCCCCACTCACATTTTACGAGTCTGGGGGAGTGCGTCGGGGCTTTTCTGGGAGCTGCCCCAGCATTGGTGGCTTTGGGGGTGTCGCAGCCTCAGTCCTGGCTATGAACACCAGTGCAAACTGGGGCGTGCTGGTGGATGCTGCTCTGTGCTGGTGCGTGGGTTGGCAGCTGGCGCAGGGCTGTCCCTGCACGGGGGATCCCAGGGGACAGCCCTACGGTGGGTGGGTGGGTGGGGGGAGCTCCCGGCGGCCCCCCGGTTGCCATGGCGTCGCGGTGCTCTCCGTGCCGGCTGACGTCAGCCATCGGGGGGGCTGTGCTCCCCCTCACTGCCGCGGCCGCGCAGACAAGCAGCACGAGGTGGAGATCCCTCCAGCGCTGCCCAAGGAGGAGCGGGAGCGCAGGAAGCGGCCGATGTCGCAGATCAGCGGTGTGAGGAGGCCGGCTCACGGCCCCCGCCTTGCTGCCATCCCGCGCTTCGGGGTGCGCACGGAGCAGGAGGGGCTGCTGGCCAAGGTGAGCCCCCGCCCAGCGTGGGTCCAACCCCCGTCGGGGTCCCGGCTCTCGCAGAACCCCGTGCCTCGGTCCCCAGGAGCTGCAGGACACCAACAAGTGGGGTCTCGACATCTTCAAAGTGGCCGAGTACTCAGGGAATCGCCCGCTGACGGTCCTCATGTACAGCATCTTCCAGGTGAGCACCGGGGGGGGGGGCCGCCCCCTCCTCACTGCTCGGATGACCCCAGCCCGGTCCTCCTGCAGGAGCGTGACCTGATGAAGACGTTCCGCATCCCCGCCGACACTTTCCTCACCTACATGCTGACGCTGGAGGATCATTACCGCTCCGACTTGGCGTACCACAACAGCATCCACGCCGCCGACGTGGCGCAGTCCACCCACGTGCTGCTCTCCACGCCGGCGCTGGAGGTGAGCCCCGCTCCCTTGGTGCCACCAAACGCGTCCGCCGTGGCTGTGAGCGCCTGTGCCGCCCTTCCCAGGCCGTCTTCACCGACCTGGAGATCATGGCCGCCATCTTCGCCAGCGCCATCCACGACGTTGACCACCCCGGCGTCTCCAATCAGTTCCTCATCAACACCAGTGAGCCGGGGGGAGCGGGGCGGCGGGGCTGCGTGCGTGGGGTCACCGCGATGCGACCAGCGCCATCATCCCGCAGACTCGGAGCTGGCGCTGATGTACAACGACGCTTCGGTGCTGGAGAATCACCACCTGGCTGTGGGCTTCAAGCTGCTGCAGGAGGAGAACTGCGACATCTTCCAGAACCTGAGCAAGAAGCAGAGGCAGTCGCTCCGCAAGATGGCCATCGATATGGTGCGCGGCGCCGCGGGGTGCGGGGCTGCGGGGCGCTGCGGTCGGGCTGAGCACCCTGCCCTGCATGCCCTGCCCAGGTGCTGGCCACCGACATGTCCAAGCACATGAACCTGCTGGCGGACCTGAAGACCATGGTGGAGACCAAGAAGGTGACCAGCCTGGGGGTGCTGCTGCTGGACAACTACTCTGACCGGATCCAGGTGGGCACGGGGACGTGGCAGGAGCGTTGCTCAGCCCATGGCACTGGGTTGAGGTGGCAGACCTGGGGATGAGGGCTGTCGGCTGAGCGGCGCGGTGCCCCGCAGGTCCTGCAGAACATGGTGCACTGCGCCGACCTCAGCAACCCCACCAAACCGCTGGAGCTGTACCGGCAGTGGACCGACCGCATCATGGCCGAGTTCTTCCACCAGGGTGACCGGGAGCGAGAGAAGGGGATGGAGATCAGCCCCATGTGTGACAAGCACACCGCCTCCGTGGAGAAGTCCCAGGTTGGGGGCACGGCGTGGGGTCGGGGCTGAGGGGCACCGCGGGGGGCTGAGCTCTCCCTTCCCACAGGTGGGATTCATCGACTTCATCGCCCACCCGCTGTGGGAGACCTGGGCCGACCTGGTGCACCCTGACGCCCAGGAGATCCTGGACACGCTGGAGGACAACCGGGAGTGGTACCAGAGCATGATCCCACGCAGCCCCTCCCCACCGCCAGAGGTGGGATCCCAAGTTCCCCCCGCTGACCCCGGCAAGTCCCAGTTTGAGATGACGCTGGAAGAGGAGGAGGGAGAGTCGGACACGGAAGCGGAGGGGCCCGAGAGCCCTTTGGAGGAGGACAACAGCGGCTCCAAGACGTCGGCTACGGATGATTCGGAGTCAGCTGACACAGAGCGTTTGTCACCTGGCTCCGGGGACCGGGAGGTGGACAACAGGAGAGTGCAGGAGGGGACCCTGCCAAAGGACGGGGCTGGTGGTGGGTGCACAGCGCCGGATCCCCAGAGCGGCGGGGAGCTGTGCCTGGACACGGAGGGCAATGTCACATTCCTGCCCCTGGGCACGTAGCGGCCCGGCCGGAGGGTTCCATCGCTGCTGTGGGGATGTGGGACTGAGCACTGCCCCAGAGAGGGTCGTGGGCGCTGCTGGGACTGGCACACGGAGCCCCAGAGGACGTCCCCATGTGGGAGCCGGGCAGATCCCAATGGCAGTGAGGATATGGCTCACCCCCTCCCCTGCTTCCACCCGGCATCCAGCTGCTGGGAAAGGTCCCCGTCACCACCAACAGGGCTCCAGGATGCCGCTCCTGCCCCATCCCAGCCCTGGGCACAGCAGAGCAGTCCCCACTCAGCACGGTGCAGCCGAAAGCGTTTTGGTGTCACGGTGGCACACAGCGTTTGGTGTCCGGGCATCGCAGCACAACGCTGGCTGTGCGCCCACGAGTCGGAGGTGTTTTTACTGGGGGACAGCTTCACTTTTTAAAGCCTTTTGTAGCTCACTTCATCCCATCAGCCTCACCTGGGCGCGCACAGCAGGAGCTGCTCTGGCTGCACTCATTGCTGTTTGGCACCGTGGGCCCCGACGGGGCGGCCCCGCGACGGTTCGGTTTCTTCCTTCACCCTGCAGATATTAAACCTCGTTTGTTTCTCCACTCCTCTCCAAAGCGGACGTTGCTCCTCTCGTGGGCGCTGGGGGCACCGTGCCCGGGTCGCGATGCGCTCGGTGCCCCCGGGACCCCGCGGGGAGCGCGGAGAGCAGCGCTGTGCGCTCGAACAAAGCCGAACTCCTCCCTGGAAATGTCGCTCCGTCGCTGGCAAACACTGCCTACGAAGGTAAATATTTAATCGCCGGCTTGGCGCGGCGCGGAGCTTGCTCCCTGCTCTTCCGCATTGCTCCCTGGGGTGATTGATCGGCAAACACGGCCCCACCCGCAGCACCGCCCCGGCAAAGCCCTCCCTTCACCCCAAAGCAACAGAGGATCCCCACGGCCCCCCAGCCCCGCACTGCCACCCCCTCCTTTCGCCCCACGATGGGGGAGCCGCCCTCCCCAAACCTCCTGGGAGGGGAGAAAACAGCCGGATCCCGGGGCCGGGCTGGGGGCGGTGGGGGTCCCACGGGTGTGGGACTCTGTGGGGCGGATGGGGGCTCCGTGACCCCGGCCGTGTTGGGGGGGGGCAGCGCTCGGTGCTCCCCGCAGACCTCGTGCTGCCCGCAGCCCCAAAGGGGGGACCGGGGTGATGCTGCGGGCCAGGGTGCGGGAGGCCGCGCCTGGAGGTGGGGGATGGAGGCGTGGGGCCGCACTCGGGCCCTATGGGTGGTCTCGAGGCCTTCGGGCCCCGGCTGCGGGCTGAGCCCCCGCCATCTGCCGCGGCCTAATCCGCGCTCAGCCCTCAGCGAGGCCGTCGGAGGACGCGAGGTCCGGGGCGGGACGCGGCCGCCCACCTGCAGCGGGCGTCACCTCAGGGCGCGGGGTCACCGAGAGCGATGGGCTCAGGGGCCCTAAGGCTGACAGGTGCGGCGGTGCGGGGCTGCTCGCCCCCCCCCCGCCCCATGGCGGCCCTCCCCGCTCCCCCCGCCCCGCGCCGAGGATGGGCGCTCCCGCAGCCCCGGCGCCGCGCCCGGCAGGGGGCGTGTCCCTGCTCGGCCCCGCCCCCGCCTGCCGGCTGCCAATCGGCGCTCCCCGTTTGCCCCTCCGCTGACGTCAGCCTCTCATCTGCATATCGCGCCACGCCCCCTCCGACGTCACCGGGCTCTGCAACCGCCGGGGCGGCGCGCGCCGCTGCTGCAGTCGCTGCGGGGAGCGCGGGGAGGAGGTGAGCGCGCGCCCCCGCGGCTCCCCCCAAACCCCCCCCCTCCTCCCGGCCCCGGGACCCCCGAGCACCGGCGGCGGCGGGGGAGGCCGGTGGGCATCGAGCGGGGCGATGGGGCCGCGCGGCAGCCGGCGGCCATTGAAGCTGCAGCGGGGGGGGGACGGGTTGCGAGGAGGAGGGGGGGGGGAATTGGGAGCTCCGGGGGGGTCCGCGGGTGCGCAGCGCTGCGGGAGAGGCCGGGGGGGGCGCGGGTTGGGGCTGCGGGAGGCAGTGCGGGGGGCGGCAGGAGGGCACGGGGCGAGGGACAGCCGTCCCCACGCTCCCGCTCCCCCCTTCCACCACCGACATCACCTATGTCCCCCCCCCTCCTACGGCAGCGCCCGGTGCCGGGCGTTGCACGCAGCGCCCATCTCTGTGCACATTGCGCCCACCGCCGTGCAGCGCTGCGCGGTGCTGTGCTCCCCCCCCCACCCCCCAGCACCTCCCGGTGCAGCCTCGCCGGGCGCGCTGTGCGGGGGCACGGCTGCAGGTGCCATTTTGCAGAGGAATTGCGGGAGCGGCTGCAGCGCATCCTGCCGGGCTCCGGGCCCCGCTCCGTGCGGCGGCGATGGGGCGATGCAGCCGGCAGCGCTGACGGCAGCAGTGAGGGCGATGCCCGCGGCTTTGCTACCGGCAGTGTGGGCATCGCGGCCGGCAGCAGTGCGGCCGTGCGTGTGGCGCTGCTGGCGGCAGCCGTCGGGGTGATGCGCCCGGCTCCGCTGCCGGCAGCCATGGGGACGGTGCGTCCAGCGTTGCGAGCAGCAGCTGTGGGGGCTGTGCAGGGCTGGGTGGCAGCAGGGCAGCGCAGCACTCTGCTGTCCGCACGCACGCTGCAGCAGTGCCACGCAGCAGCACAGCCCGGTGCCACAGGGGCTGCTGGTCCCACTGGTGACCGCCCATCACCTCCTCCCTTTGCAGATGGCGTCCGCTACCGACTCCCGCTATGGACAGAAGGAGTCCTCAGACCAGAACTTTGATTACATGTTCAAAATCCTCATCATTGGTAACAGCAGCGTAGGGAAGACCTCGTTCCTATTCCGGTACGCCGACGACTCCTTCACGCCCGCCTTCGTCAGCACCGTCGGCATCGACTTCAAGGTCAAAACCATCTACAGGAATGACAAACGCATCAAGCTGCAGATCTGGGTGAGCGCTGGGGGTCAGGGTTTGGGCCAGGAATAGGGCCAGGGTTGGGGTTGGGGTTGGGGTTGGGGTTGGGCTGTCCTGGTGCTGAGGGCTGTGCGGCTGTCCGGCCGGGTGCTGCTGTCAGCTCAGTGCTGCATTCTGTGCCCTCGGGCATTCCCAAGGCAGCAATGCTGTGCGTGGAGCCCATCGGCTCAGCAGCAGTTTGGTGATTCCTGCATTATACACGGAGTGACCCGCAGGCAGTTTGCTGGCAGCAGCCGGATGCTGGCTGAGTTCTGTGCGCTGCATCCCAGCTTTGCCGGCAGTGCTGCTTACCTCTGCTGTGTGCGCTGCGTGCAGCACGGCCCCGGGGCGATGTGCCGGCAGGAGCTGGGTGCTGGCTGAGCCCCAGAGCTGTGCGCACCGCATGGCTCTGCATTGTGCCCCCCCTGGCTGTGTGCTCCCCCAGGACACGGCCGGGCAGGAGCGGTACCGCACCATCACCACCGCCTATTACCGCGGGGCCATGGGCTTCATCCTGATGTACGACATCACCAACGAGGAGTCCTTCAACGCCGTGCAGGACTGGTGAGCGCTGCCCTCCCTCCCAGATCTGTCCGGCACGGCCTCCCTCCCTCCCTCCCCCATCACTTCTGTCCCTTTTTTGCCCCCGAAGGTCGACCCAGATCAAGACGTACTCGTGGGACAACGCGCAGGTGCTGCTGGTGGGGAACAAATGTGACATGGAGGACGAGCGCGTGGTGTCGGCTGAGAAGGGCCGGCAGCTCGCCGAGCACCTGGGTGAGCATGGGGGGGTCCCCGGTGTCAGCTCTGCCCCCATGCAGTGGCACGTGGGGCACAATGTCCCTGTGACAGCGTGGGGATGAGTGCAGGTTTAACCCCCCCCGCCATAATTGTGCTGAAGTCGCGGCAGAGCTGTGACCCACAGCGACCCCAGGGCTCAGCTGAGCTGCAGCCCCCCGTTGGGTCACCCTCTGTCACTGTCACCACCCCATGGGGCTGGATGGGAGCACAGCCGTCAGCTGGCTCCACTCACTGAGCGTTTAACTCCTGTGTGCTGGCAGGGGGTCCCAACCCACACCGGGGGGCCCTGCATTGACCCCCCCCCCTCCCCTCCATATTCTGACCCCTCCTCATCTCCAGGCTTCGAGTTCTTCGAGGCCAGCGCCAAGGACAACATCAACGTCAAGCAGACCTTCGAGCGGTTGGTGGACATCATCTGTGAGAAGATGTCGGAGTCTCTGGATGCAGCCGACCCCGCCGTCACCGGCGCCAAGCAGGGCCCGCAGCTGTCGGACCAGCAGGCCCCCCCCCACCAGGACTGCGCCTGCTAGGGCCCCCCGCTGCCCCCCCTTCACCTCCCCCTATTTCCCCCAGGGGGGCACTTTGCTGCTGATACCTCGCAGGTTCCCAAAGGGCCGTGGTCCCTCTTGGAGCCTGCCCTGCTCCCCCCATCAATTAAGCTGAGCCCCCCCCCCACTGTCATTCCAACCCCCCCCCCTCACCTTATTTATTTTTAAGCCTGGGATGGTAGGAAGAGAAACAGAATCGCCCCCTTCTGCTTTTAATTAATCGCTCGACGAGCCCAAATTCCTCCAAAAAGCCCGGATTGTGGCCGTTTTGCTCGCGGTCCCCGGGGCGATGGGGAGGGGGACGGGACCCCCGACCCCCCCCCACCCCTACAGAGGGTCCTGGCGGAGCGCGGCGCTCCGGGGGCCGTTCCCCACCTCTTGTTAATTTGTACAAATAGATGCTGGTCGCTGCTCCCGCCGTCTTCCTCCTTGTACATAACGACAGACTCCTTGTAAATAGCCGTAGGTGTGACGCTGTGTGCGTGACCTGCTGTGCCGTGGCCGTGCTGATGCGTCCCTTGATTTCCCCCTCCCTCCCCCCCCTCGGTGTGGTTTCTCTGCTTGTGAAATATCACTTTTCAAAGCTCTTATTTAAAGGTGAAGAACCAAACACGGGGCTGCGGCCGCCCGGCGCAGCTCCTTGTGCCCGTGTAGCGACGTGCTTCTGTGAGACTGTGAATACGTGGATATTGCTATAGCAATGACTGCCCCGGAGGTCTTGCATCCCCCTATTTATTTCTCCTGGAGCGCTGTGTCTTTATTTTACAGGTTTCTCCCTCCCCCTCCCTCTCCCTGCGGTCCCCTGTTCCTCCCTTTCCCCCTTTTTCCTATTTTTTGTGAAGTTTACTTATGGAAGAGTTACTCTGTACTGTACAAATGTCAAAAGTGTCAAAAAAAAAAAGAGTACAATTTCCTAAAAATCACTGTATTAAAGAAATGTTGTGAAGAAATAAATCAATGCTGATCAGGAGGGGCTCTCAGTTCTTCCAGGTGTCAGCGGGCGATTTTAGCAGGAAGGAGCTGCGCTCTTGAGGGGGTTGGGAGGCACGACTGGGGCGTTAGGGGATGCTTTGAGGCACGTGGAGGCTGGACAGAATAAGGTCCCATGCTGGGAGGATGCTGCTCGGTGCCTGGGGGGCAAGGGTGGGATTTGTCACCTCGGCACCGTGGATGCAGTGGCAGCCACTCCCAGAGCCACCAACAGTGCTGAAACCCAGAGGAAAAGGCCCCTGGAAACATGTGTGTGTGGGGAGGGGGTGGCAGCAGGGGACACGGACCGAAGCCAAACGCTGCTCCCCACACTG